AGTCCGGGTGCTGCGGCCTTGGGGTGGGCCGGGGTCCCTGTCAGGGTCCTGAGCAGGGGCACCCTGAGGGAAGCGTCCCCACGCCGCGCTCGGCTGGTGGGCCGTGCTGCTGGGCTTGCCCCGTCCCCGCACCGGGCAGTCACCGTGGTGTCTCGTCGCCGGGAGCTGGGCACACCTGGGATGGCGAGGCGTTCCGGAAGGGTCGGCCGGACACTCCAGCCAAGTCCAGCCCAGTGGAGAGCTCGGCTGCGGAATGACTCGGGTCTTTTTGTAAGGTACGGAGAGGTTTCACCTCTGGGAAGGCTGCGTGTAGGAGCTTGGAGGATTCTAAACACGTTGTCAGGCTTCAAGGCGCCCGTATTCTGTAGGCAGTTAGGAGCAGCGTGATGGTTTTAGGCAGCGCTGTACACACTTTTACCTAAAAAGAATAAAAGAGCAAACAGTGGCAAGCAAACCCAGTTTTAAAACTTGAGTTACGTTTAATACAGGTAATTTAAAATATCAGTGTTTCTAAATAATCATTTAAGTTAGGAACCTTAGGCACGTCAGCAGTCCTCTTGATTTGGGTGCATCCATAGGGTTACGTTTGTGCGTGAGCTTTGCGGAACTGAAGCATCTGTCTGTGTAAAATTAGGTTTAAAAGACCGGAGACATCGATGCAGTACCGCTGAACTAAATCAACTTTCCTGTTCCTCCCCCTGCTTGGTGAAGTCATTGATCTCTGCTTTGAGCGGGCCTTTTCACATAGAAAGAGGATAAAATTTTAAAACAGAGGAAGAAATGTGTCAGAAATTACAAGGGAATGTGTATGTGAAGATACTTCTGGTGTACGTGTATATGAAGTAGTTTCAGTTGGACCGGACGATCGTTGTAGGTCCCTTCCAACTGAACTACTCTGTTCTGTTCTTATGGTTAAAACCTCAAAAGTCATTTCAGTGAGAATTCTCCTGCTTAAAATCAAATGGGGTTGGATGTTGCAGGATCAAAACCATTTTCTGTAAGTAGTCTTCCTGTTCCATTGAGATGGTTTGTGTGGCCAGACTTCAGCGGCTGGCTAAGGCTTCAAGCAAAAAGTGGTAACTAGAGCCAGAACGATGGAAAAAAGGTGAAAATACTTTGTATTGGTCTGACAAATGAGACTGTTAATCTGTTTGCAGGTAAATATTCTAACAAAGCTAGTCAGTTTGTTTGCCTGTTGCCGTCATGATCCTTAATGTAACGGAGGGGACAGTTATCGGTGCCTTGGGAGCACAGAACAGATAGCCTTGTGGCACCTACAGTGTCTTCTAGGTGTTTAATTCAGCAGCATCACATCCCTCTGATGTAGGCAGAGGAGCAGAGCCTGGGGGCCTCGGAATGATGCAAGCCATTGCCTGCTTCCCTGGAAATTAGGGAACGGGGCTCAGTTCTCTCATTCATTCCAAGTTTTGTTTTATTGTGTGAGTGATGACAGCTTGCTTTGGACAGCGAGTGCTTCCCAGCCCTGCTGAGAGGATTACCTAGGTTTTGAGGGCACTTTGAGTCGCCCTTGCAGGAGGGTGAGAGGTTCTCAGAAGATGAGGTGAGTGCCCAGAGTGAAAGCTTATACAGCTGTGCAAATACAAGTCTGCTCCTCCCTCACAGGTCCGAGAGCTCAGGGTATATCTCTGACTTCAGGCGGATGGAGTCCAGACAGACCTGAACTACCCCGTTCCTGCCCGCTGGCTGCCTGCTTCCTTCCTGCCTGGAAACAATGTAGGGACACCCGTGCCATGTTGTAGGGTGCCCGTGATGCCTGCTGAGAGGCTGGGGCTGGCAGCTGAGCGTCAGGAATGCACTGGAAGCACTGGAAGTGAGTGGGTCTGTCTGTACCTGAAGACAGACTGAAGGAATTTGCCAGAGTGAAGGCTGGTGTCGCGTTTGCTTTTGCAACGCCGTTAGGTATTGTAGTAAAGCTATTGGTAGGGCCACACTGAAAAGAAAATCACTGCAGCTAGCTAAAAAGACTCCCCTGCTCTCTCTTTTTAAACCTGTTTTTTTAAAGTGATCTTAACCTGTATCCCTTTAGTTACCAGAGTTATACCAGGAGTGCTTGTACTTGCGTTTCTAAGGGGCAAACAGCTGCATGCAAGGCAGAAGCAAGTGAGAGGTGACAGCTGGGAACTTCCTAGGTTTGGCCTTCACTGTCAAAATCGGTGTCTTCACGTGAGGCCGTGTACGTGGCACAGATGTGAACAGGCTAGAGATCCCATTGCCTTTCCTTCTATGCTGCATTACTCAGCAAACATTGAAATGCAGAGAATTATTTTTTCAGGCTCTGAGGGAATTTACTGAATTCATATACTCTCTTGTGCGTTATTTTTTGGTGCCCTATGATCGAGTATTGTAGCTTTTGAATATTACTTTAAAATCTGCTCTATGGATAAAGCAACAATCAATGTAATTCTGTTTCATTGGATGATGAAATCTCCTTAAGCTAATCCATGTGCTTCTATAAAAGGCAATGCTGCTTATCATTTTCTGTGCAGGTGTATTAAAACTAGTTGATCTCCACATTTTACAAGCTGAGGAAGTGACCATTGATACAGATAAACACGGATTAGTGCATTATTTTTGTGTTGGCTTTCTTTAAAATGGCTTCAGGATCTTATCTGTGAGGCCCAGGCTGGGAGGTGGAGAGAAGATGAGAAGGAAACCTGGCTTGTCTTGGTAATAAGTTAGGTTTTGAAAAACCTGAAAGGCAAGCAAACCTGTCTGAAATACTACCTCTGGGTGTATCTTTTGGAGAGGCTAATATTAAATGACCTGTAGTTCCAAAGGTAATTCATATCCTCTAATAGGCGTGTTTTGATTTTGATTCATTATAATGGGATTGTAAAAATAGTAGCAAATTTAGAACTGGAATGTGGACAATACGTGCACAATGAATAACCAATGCCTCCGTTTCCCCAGTTCCGAAGCTACTCATGAGGTAATGGATCACTGACATTTACAGCTCTGCCCTTTCTGAAGAGGAGCAAAATAACGCTGGGAAGATGGCTTCTAATAAAAGTACCTTCTATTAAATTCAGGAAAGCTACTTCATTGTTGGTCACTTGTCTTCCTCTTTAGATATAATCCGTACTATCCGGGACCCGGAGAAACCTAATACTTTAGAAGAACTGGAAGTGGTAACAGAAAGCTGCGTTGAAGTGCATGAGATAGGTGAAGATGAGTATCTGGTTATCATCAGGTTTACACCAACAGTACCTCATTGCTCGTTGGCTACTCTCATTGGTAAGATTTCTGTTTCGTTAAATCGGTAACAATGAGCGTAAAGTTAATTCTAGGTTTTCAGTCTTAGTGAAAATTCGGTATTGCTGTGCCAGCACTTTGACCAGGAATTTCATCTTGAGAACCCTGCTAGTAATACAGACGAACAAAAACCAGAGGAAATATGGGAAATATGTGCTGTTTTTGTCAAGTTAAGGAAACTCTTCAAAGAGAAGCTCTCAAAAATCTACTGGGAAGTGGAACAGAATTCCTTCTTTATATTTTCCAAATTATTTTAGTAACGTTAAACTGAAGATTTTGTCAGCTCTTAAATTTAAAAAAAATGTGAAAACTTTCCCTTATCTTTCCCTTACCTTATGGACTGTTCTCCATTCCCACACAGGTACAAAAAACCCCACATGCAATCCAAGAATACAAAAAAATTCTGGACTGTTAGGAGTTTGAAAGCAATTAATGAGAATCCACACTGGCTTATTTTGCTTTTTTTCTTCCTCATTATTTGTGGCGAGATCACATCTGAAAAGCAGCGTCTGAGATCTCTGAAATGATTTAAATGTACCAATATTAGCGACTCTTACCATTACATATCGATACGAAGATTTCTCAGTCTATTTTAAAGATTTAAGGGACAGTAAGTCTTTAATTTAATGAAGAAGTATATGTATTTATGCCCAAACAAACCTTTTCAGGTTTATGTGGAAAGTAAAGTATAAATAGTAAAGCATTAGCATGCCAGACTAATAATTTATTAATAGGTTGACCCTGTTAGGAATGTCGGAGGGTTAATGCTCAGACCCGAGGATCAATGATGTACATGTAAAATCTTAAACTCTGTGCTAATCGTGTTCTCAGCACTTAAAAAACTCAGCCAGGTCTCTGATACCGGTTTGACTGCGCAGTCGTTCTCAGTGTTGTGTGGCCTCTGAAGCACAGTTCCTCGTGCTGTTACAGACAGGGGTAGGTAACTGTTCTAGGTAGTGGGGTGGTAGCTGTAAGAATGTCGGCAGGAAGCAGTGCTGCGGGGTTTTTTTTCCAGACTTCCTTATCAGTACAGAGTACTCTAGGCTGGAAGTTCTGCTGGGGAGTATTTGCTGTTGCTGTTACAGAATCACAGAATCACAGAATAGTAGGGGTTGGAAGGGACCTCTGTGGGTCATCTAGTCCAGCCCCCCTGCCCAAGCAGGGTCACCCAGAGCAGGCTGCACAGGACCTTGTCCAGG